CTTTACCTGCTACGCCACAGCGCCGGCCCCATTTCATTTGATCTTGCTGGTCACCTGAAAACTAGTAAGTCATCCCATGGTCACTTCCTGCCAATACAGACTCTGAGATAGGATTTGAATTCAGGTCTGTGGCTTCAAAACCCAGTGTACTTTCCACTACCACCTATTACTGGCCTATCTAATAAAATCCTGTAGTCATGCCCCAGTTTAATTACCAGATTTTGTCTGTGGATAATGGCCAATGAGCTTCTGAATAATTTAATTCACTCAACAGCCATGCTATGATTTAGACAGAGTTTAAAAGTGCCCTGAAAGGTTCATGTGTTTGGCTTGGACGTCCATCTACTAAGAGGTGGGGCCTAGTGGAAGGTCATGGGGACATCATCCTTGCAAGGGATTTGTGAAGTTACCTTGGGACCTTGACTGTTCTCATGCCACAGGCTTGGCCCTGTCTGTACACAGCTGTGCCCTCGCCTCTTGGCCACATGATGGTGCAGCAAGCCAGCGCCTGGCAGGTGCAGGTCCTGTGCTGTGTGGACTTTCCTGCTACAACTGGGAGCCCAATAAACCTGTTTCTTTCGAAGTACCTGGCTTCAGGCTTTTTTTACAGCAACACCAGATAATCCATCCTGTCCTCCCCCCGCCTTTTTTCCAAAAGACATAAAACAGCCTTAATTCAAAACTGATCACACTTCCTTCCGAATTATCCTTTACTTCAAAAGAAGATCCACTTCAGTCTTTAAAAAGGCCGTTCGGGTGAGGGGTCTGACCCAGATGCCAGTCAAGATGCCCACATCCACACCCTATATGGGTGCTTGGGTTGGATTCTTGGCTCTGGCTCCCGATTCCAGCTTCCTGCCAATGCCCTCATGAGGCAGCAATCGATGGCTGAAATAGTTGGGTCCCTGGGCCGGCGCTGTGGCATAGGCTAAGCCTCTACCTGCAGTGCCCGCATACTATATGGGCACGTTTGTGTCCTGGCTGCTCCTCTTCCTGTCCAGCTCTCTGCTAACGATCTGGGAAAGCAGTGGAAGATGGCCCAAGTGTTTGGCTCCTACACCTGCCTTGAAGACCCAGAAGCTACTGGCTCCTGGCTTTGGATTGGCTGAGCTCTGACTGGTGCCAACACCTGGGGATTGAACCAGCAGGTGAAAGACCTTTCTCTCTGTCTCTCTTTCTCTGTAACACTACCTTTTAAAATAAATAAGTTTTTTAAAAAGAAAATACTTGGGTCCCTGTCACCCATGTGGGACATCTGGATTGAGTTCCTAGTAGCCAGCATGGCCCTGCCCAGCCATTGTGGGCATCTGGGGAGTGAACAGGGAGCAGATAGGATCTCTCTCTGCCTCTCAAAAAAAAAAAAAAAAAATCAAATTTGTATCTTCCTTCCAAGATTCAAAGCCACTTATTTAAGTTACAGCAGGCTAGCAAGTTTCAAACCCTTTAGTATTATGTATTCCCAAAACCCTTTGATGTTATGTAAGACTGAGGGAGAGAAAGCTCTAGATCGCTGGGTTTCAACTCTGAATGATTTGCCCTCTAAGGAACATCTGGCAACATCTGGAGTCTTGGCTGTCACAACAGGAGAAAGGTAGTGTGTGATTTCCTGACACACAATGGGCGGGGGCCAGGGGTGCTGCTTAGCGCCTTGCAATGCGTGAGACAGCCCCCACTACAAAGAATTCTCGGGCAAGATGTCAGCTGAGTTAGTGCTGAGCGCTTCTTCTGGGAAGGAAACCAGGAAGCCCTCCCAGCGGAATGGATAATCCTGGCGCAGAGCAGTGGTGGGGGCGCTGCTCGCCAGAGGCCTGAGAGCTGGGAGCAAGCCCATTCCAGCAAGCATGTTGGGCTTCAACCCTGACAAAAGTGAAATTAGGAAATGGTTCCCAAAGTTAAACAGATTGAAAAAATCTTCCTGATTGAGAAAAAAAAATTGTGATTATAAAAATAAAACCAGGGCCCGGCGCTGTGGCGTATCAGGAAAAGCTGCTGCCTGCAGTGCCAGCATCCCATATGGGCCACTCCACTTTCCATCCAGCTACCTGCTAATGCACCTGGGAAAGCAAAAGATGGTGCAAATCCTTGGGCCCCTGCATCCATGTCAGAGACTGGGAAGCTCCTGGCTCCAAATCAGCCAAGCTCTGGCCGTTTTGGCCATCTGGGAAGTGAACCAATGGATGGAAAATTCTCTCTCTCTCTCTCAAATAAATTTAAAAAAATCAGTGAAAACAAAGAGTAAACATTACAGAAATAGCACAAAAAGTTAGAGCCCACAATCCCAGGAACCAGAGATGGCTGCTAAGAGTTTATGTTCCTCCAGGCTTTCCCCAGCTACAAATGGGTTGAGGGTCCCGAAGCCAAAAATCCAAACTCCAAAATGCTCTGTCATAGTGCAGTGTCCTGTTGGTGCTCAAGACATCTCAGATTTGGAGTTTTGGTAAAATCTGCAAACATTCCAAAACCTGAGACCCTTGTGGGGCCAAGCACTTTGGGTAAGGGATGCACAGCCTGTACTGTCTCTCCCAGTGCTGAGGGGCGGGGCCACTGTTTTGCTGTTTACATTTCCTCCTTCCTAAGATACCTCCCATAGCTGCCCATGCCTGGTGCAATACTGACTCCTGCTGGCCAGCTTACTCCTCAAGTTCTGACACAGCCATGGATTACTTCCCATGTTTTGCCACTACAAAGAATGTGGCCATGAACAGCTTTTTACTGTTTTGTTTGTGCACCTGTGAGCCCTTCTGATCCATGTAAATGCCGAGTTCAAAGGGTACATACGTTAAGATCTATTTGAATTATAAATAAATGTGGTCTTGGTTATCTGCATATTCATTAAGCAAATCCTTGAGGGTACTAGATTGTACAGAGAAATGGAAGTCATTGTGACATGAGACCATTCGTTGATGAATTGAGTCCTTGCAAGATCACTCCCTCCTTGCATCTCAGGTAGGGGACCCCTGACTGACTGCTGCCCAGTGCATTCCTGTCTCCTCTTAGTCTCTGCTTACATTCCAGCATATGACAATGGTACAAACAGAACGCAGATGAACTGTGATAATCCCAAGTCTTTGCAAATGGCAGCTGACTTGCAGTTGATAAATGGTACTAGAAAACTGCTCAAATTTCAGGCAAAGCCACTGAACAACGCGGCTCCGACAGACTCAGACCATTAACAGCAAAGGGAAAGGTGACAAGGTGATCACCAACAGACACAAAAAAGGATGTGAACTTCAAAACATTAGTGCCACGGGGAAAACTGGTGATGACCTCAAGTATTTTTGCACCAGTTCCTTTGATGATCACGTTTCAAAGGGCCAGAGAGAAGGATATCGTAAGACTCTAAATCACGGTTCCACTTGAAGAACACTTGATTCATGTCTTGTTCGTTACAAGAATTTGATCTGAAGTTAGGAACATGCTTTTACAGTTCTGCTTAGCTTTCATGAGAAGAGCCCCACTCAGACTTCCCCTGATGTCAGCTCCAGGAGATCACTCCAAGGGAGCTGCTTCTGGTGGTTGGCTCCCCTCCCGTCCCAGGAGGCGGGGGAGCTGGGGTCTGACCCCTCGGGAGGCCAAGGGACCTCCAGTGACAAGTGCAGCCGTGCTCTCAGGGCTCTGAGAAGTCACTGACAGGCTGGGAGCCTCTGCTTGGTTCACCGCTGCCACTGCTCCCAGCTCCGAGCCGGGGACCCGCCAGCAAAGGACAAACAGCTTGGCTGCCTGCCCTCAGCAGCCTCATCCTCTGATACCTGGCAGCTGCCACTCCCAGGACACCGGGAGGGAAGCACAAGGCAAAGGTCCGAGAAATCAGCTGAGACCTCTGGTCCTCTCCTGCTGGGATGCAATTCAGTTGTTCCGAAGTCTTTTCAAGGACAAAAGAGTCCTAAAATGATCATGCATTTGTCAAAAACCTATTCACAACCAGTGGGGGTGGGGGTGGGGATGGTCTCTGGCAATTTTAAAATAAAAGCACACCACTCACAGTCTTCAAATATCAAAGCTGAAAAGGCACTAAAGAGACTTCATTTTGTAGACTGCAGTTGACAAACTTGTGTCGAGGCCCACAGGGTGAACAGTTTGCATTTTATAGACCCTGCTGTCTTTGTTGCATCCTTCAACTCTGTCACTGTTGCACAAAAGCAGACACAGACAGTGTGGGAGCACATGTGTGTGGCGAGATTCTGATGAAGCTTTATCTATGGTCACTGAAATTTAAATTTTACTAACTTTTCACATGCTTAAAAAAATTGTCTTTTTTGATCCTTTCAACCATTTAAAAATGTAAAAACCGGGGCCAGCACTGTGGTGCAGCGGGTTAAAGCCCCAGCCTGCAGTGCCAGCATCCCATATGGGCACCAGTTTGAGCCCCGGCTACTTCACTTTTGATCCAGCTCTCTGCTATGGCCTGGGAAAGCAGCAGAAGATGGCCCAAGTGCTTAGGCCCCTGCACCCACATGGGAGACACAGTAGTTCCTGGCTCCTGATCAGCTCAGCTCCGGCCATTGCAGCCATTTGGGGAGTGAATGAGCAGATGGAAGGACTTTTCTCTCTCTGTCTCTGTGTCTCTCTCTGTAACTGTGCCTTTCAAATAAATAAAATAAATTAAAGAAAAAAAAAAAAGAGCTATCGCTTCTTGGCCTTTTGGCTAAGATCAAGTGTAAAAAAAAAAGAGTTAAAACCATTCTTAGCATGTGGTGGGTAGGACCTGGCCCACGGCCCCAGTTTGCTGGCCCCTGTCCTATGCCACTCTTAGACCCAAGCACAATACGCAGCCTCTGCCATGTACACCTTATTTATCTGCTCTCTGCTTTATCTAAGACCTGGATTCTCTTAACCCTAAAGTGTACAACTAAGGAGCTCTATAAATGCTTTCTGCATTTAAGGAGTGACATTAAGATCTGCCAGGAACATGTAATGGGCCACAGTTGAAAGAACACTGCCACAATGAGCAGTCAACAAAAACAATCAAGAGAAAAACAGAATGAATTTGCGAAACTCACTGAGTTTGAAAAATAGGCTTTATTTTAACCAGTGGTGTTATCTGACATCCTCTATGACATAACTGCTTACAGCCAGTTCATGAATACAAATAAAAGAGCAGTTTCCCTCATTCTCTCCCGTGTCTTCTGTTCCGAGAACTCAGGAGACGGGAGAATTACGCTCGGAAGCCAAGGCGCTCTCGCGAGCTCCAGCTTAAGAGTCCGGGCTCCTGGAGCACGCAGCCTCCTAACACGCATGTGATCACGTGTGCAAGGACCCTTGAGGAGAAGCAGTCAGCGCGGTACTCTGTAGGAGACCACACCAGCACGTATGACCAGCCATGGCCGACCCAAGTCACCTTGCTCTGCGTGGTGAGGATCTGACCGCCTGTTGAGGTGAGGCCTTTCCATTCCCCTTCCTTTCGCGAGGGGCAGACTGGTGGTGGTGGTGGGGTGCAGTCACAGCAGCCCTCCTCTTCCTCCTGGCTCCAGTGGACTGGGGGTCCCCGACCCTCTGCACTCACAGAGAAACGGAGACCCCCTGGCCCGAAGGCAAGGGTCTGTCACACAGCCAACACTGCAGGTGGCTCTACACTTTCTTATTCCACAATAGGCTTAAATACGTGAGCTCCTCCTGGAGCAAAAAAATGCCTGAAATTGGGGAAAATTACAAAAACAGCTCTTCTTCCACCCCTGAGGATACTTCTTCTTTACAAAGTTGAAAATACAAAATATCAAAATAATTTGCCCTTTCTCCCTACCAGAAGGAACCACATTCTCAAAGGATTCCTGCAATATATAAAATTCTGAAAACGTGTTTCTTTCCGAACCAAGACCAAGAAGTCGACCAAATGTTCAGCTGCCGAGAAGAGCCTCTGCCATACGGGGTGGGAAAGACACCTTGTCACTATTTTTCTTATAATCGTATTTAGAGAGAGATAGCAAAAGGAGTTTCTGGCTTCATGAGTGTTTATTTTTTCACTGATTTTCGGCATTTCTTAGAATCGATTATTGGAAGTGAAGACAACTCGTGTCCCAGAGTTTGGGACATTCCTGGGAAAAGCCCTGATCTTTCCCGTGTTGGCTCCCCCAAAACAGCTCATAGAAAACCAGGGGGCAAGAATGAAGATCTGCCCACCCACCTGCCCCGTCTGTTCCTGGTCTTCACATCAAGAGCACCTGGAGCACCGACTGTGTTCCAACACGAAACAGCACGGGGGCTGCACGGGGCTGCACAGAGGATGATGTCACTCGCCCACAACGTGAGCTGCGGTGACACAGGGTCCGAGCTACCCGAGAAGGCTTCGCTGACAAGCCTGCCTGGCACCAGGGCCTGCCGAGAACAGGACGAGCAGCTGTGCATGCTCAAACAGCAAGACGTGCGAGATTCACCCTCACTGTGCTAGAAACGGAGAGCGCGTGGGAAGTGCACTAACGGCGGGAACCTGCTTCCCACCACCGAGCCAGTGCACTGGAGGAGAGGGGTAAGCACAGGCACGTAGCGGCTCCCGCTGGCAAGGGAGGGGAGAGACGGACACACATGCACGCGCGCAGATGCACACACGGCCACCTCTGAAGGCCGCGCGTGGCCGTCCGACTGCCCTGTCGGCTTGCCTGGCTCAGAACTTCAGCAGCTGCAGGCTTTCAACTACCTCTACTCACTTCTCTTCTCTTAAGGCACAGACATATTTACAGTTTCAACCGCAACCTGTCAAGTTCTGGAGCCACACTAAGCGAGTCGATCCGAGGCCGGTGCGCAGGAGCCGGTTGGTCCTTTGTGGCCGTATCCATCTCCGAGGGATGGCTCCAGACCTGAAGCAGCCGGAAGGTGTGAGCCTCCTCCCCGTGCCGCTGTGGGCTGTGGGCAAGTCCACCCCCACCATTGGAGGGGGCGCACAGGAGAGGCCAGAGAGGCCAAAGCATGACTGGGATCAGGGGCGTTTTCATATTTCTCACTTTGCATTTAACTCATCCCTAAGAAGAGGGCAGCTCTCATCTGCCTGAGCCAACTCTCAGGAAGCAGAGCAGGTGGAGGCTGCTAGGGACTTGCTGTAGAGTCACACGAGGCTCTCACGTCTCACAGACACACACATGCACACACACTAACGCACACATACACACGTGCCGCACGCACGCACCCCTTCCACCATGGAGGAAATCTTTGCAACGAGAGGCACTTGAATGATATTTGGAGAGTTCCCATGAAAAGGCCTTCCCCTCACAGTGAAGTGGGGTCACCAGAACAGAACCCGGGTGCTCAGGACTCCATCTCTTCTTGGTCGAGGGGTGGCGGCACGAAGCTGATGACTTCATCATAGGTCAGGCCTGGAATCGGGAAGGAAAAGTGAGCCGTGAGAATTCGGGCCGTTCTCTTCGCCGGCAGGTGCTCTGACGTCAGGGATGCAGATCCCCACTCCCTGGGCGGGCTGGTGGTTCGGGGCGCTACTTCAGCTGGCTGCCTTACCGACTCCACGGGCTACTCTTGTGGGGCTTACGGCTACACAGAAGTTGGAGGGCATACACAGAGCTGCCGAGGGCCCCCTCTTTAAAGCTCTCTGAGAAAGGTGCTGGAAGACCTCTCCCGGAGCTGCGGCCCTGGCTTTGGAGACGGAGCTGCAGCTCTGCACTCGTGTCTTATGGAAAGACTATGAGCTTGGATAGAGGAGTCGTGGCTTCTATTCCTGGCTGCATCCCTAATGAGGTGTAAGGTAACAGATAAGAGGTGAATTCCCTCGTTGCAAAACTGTAAAACTGCCCTCACCCTACTTATCTCAGAGCAATGCTGTCTACACAAAGGCTCTGAGAACCTCGAAGTCCTTTGCAGACGGGAGAGGCTATGCACAAAGCCAGGCCAGACAGAAGCATCCCAAGGAGACCTGGGATTGCTTGTGACCATTGAGAAGTTTTCATTGGCCACCTGGAGAAGATTTTAGAATCTGAGTTCTCGTGCCCGATGACCATCCAGCTCCCAGGACTTACTTTTCCACTCGTCTATGAGCAGGTCCCTGCTTTCAAAAGACTGATCGTAAGGGTCGGCCACCGGCTCGTCGTCCGGATCGTGGTACTGGGCAAAGTAGTCGTGCGCGAGGGCTTGGGCTGCTGTGATTCTCTTATCTGAGTCCAAAACAAGCATCTTCTCCAGCAGGTCAACGGCTATGGGCGCCACAGATGGGAAAGACAAAAAGAAGAGGCTCTGAAGCATCTGGCAGCAAAGCACGCGGCAGCAATACGCAAACACGCAGTTCCGGGCCGCCACTCCCAAACGAGGTTCCCCCGCAAGCATCTGCTGTAGGGTATACGAGCTCGTCTCTGCGTTATGTGCGTATGTGCAGGTGTCTATTTCTACCTTGAAGGATACAAGACTAAAGGACTGGGATTCTGTTTGAACAAGCTTTAGTGGAATGCTGATGTCAACAAGTCTTTTGAGTCAGCACAGGGAGTTGGACACGTGGAGTCCAACAGTGAGGACTGCCTTGCCTAAAATTTGGGGCTGACAAAGGTTAAAAAAAAAAAAAAAAGAATCAGAACAGAACGATAGTCAGGGGAGCCACCAGCATACAACAGCTTTTTCCAACATTCTAGCTCACGGAGCGCCTCTCACAGATCCTTGCCCTGGATGACAGCTCAGACGCATCGCACACAGCCCAGTGTGAGCATGCCAGGGCACCTGCTGGAATCCCACACACCCTTGATCAGTCTGTGGATTCATCCCTGGACCTGGAGTGGCCCAGCAGAGATGTGACATAATCACCCAGAACTGCCCAACACTTCGAAGAGCAGTAAGGTTGTCATGGCAACCCTGAGACGCTGGCAAAATCACCATGGAGGAAGTACTTAAAAAGGGAAGCCCACCTAGCTTCCATCCACGACTTCTAAAGAGGTCACCATGGCCATCGGCTGCCAGGACCCTCATGATGAGGGACGACTCCCCCACCCCCAGGACTTCAGGGAAGTCAGCCAGTCTCCGGCACTTGGCACTGCACCACCATCTTCAGAAGTGAGAAGGCCGCCTATGCTGGCTGTCACGGCACCACGCCCCTCTCCGCTGCACTGGGGCCCTGCCCTGACCCTTCTGTCCCCAACACCAAGCAGCGCTGTCCTTGGCACTCTCCAGGAGTCAGGGAGTGAGGGCTTCAGGGAAAGCCACTTTCTGGGCATGAGACGCTCCCATCAGCCCCCAGCGTAAGGAACAAGCAGAGGCAGCACATCTTCATGGCTGTCCATGCCGAGGACTGAGTGGGTGCTGGTGGTGGGAGGGGACACCGAGCCACCCCTTGGATTGGAGGAGGCTGACTGGTTAAGTCTCTGAGGGGCAGAGGAAGAAGAAGGAAAGGGAAAAGCACGCAAGGGGGGAGCACGGCCGGATCTGCAGCCCCGGTGGCTGCGGGCAGAGCACAGCACTGCAGGGAGCACCATCCCCCCTGCCTACCCTGCCTCAGCTTGGGACGGCACGGACCAGCGAGGTGTGAACACGCCATGGCTTTCTTCTCTGCCTCTTTCCTCCTGCCCCAACTGTCTCCCCAACCTCCTCCCCTTTCTTCATTATGCCACCCGTCTCCCCCACCGGATCCTGTGAGCATAGAAATACAGCAGGTCATGGGATTCTGAAGAAGTCTGACAAAATCAATACACATAGTAAGTGCCGTACGCGTAGTCATTACCTTCCCAAATTTAATTAATGATACCCTTTTTGGTCAAAAAGAAAAACTCTCCTTCATATCCCTAATTTATGTCGTAACCAGTTCAGTATTCGTGAGCTGAGAACAGGGTCACTTACCCAAGGGGTTGGCACCAATAAATACATTTGCAAAGTTCATCTTCGGCATCTGGGTCAAAGACTGAATATAGTTTCTTGCCTGGAAAAGCAAGGGTTTTCAGAATAACTTTGGTCAGTGACGTTACTCATCTTGTCAAGCAACACGTGTTAACTGACAAAGCGCGCTCACTCCAGGGTTTATGACTCTTTCCGACACTTACTGGAGAACTCTCTTACTGCCATCCTAGCGTCTCCCCTTCTGGGCATCACCTTTACTTAGTCCTGCTCTCTCCCAGTTATATCTCAAGTGAATGAGAATGCTGAACCAGTTCAGTTCTTTTCCATTAGCTTTCTGGCCACAGGATAACATGCTCAAAAACCGAGGTCCCGGGCAGCCCTTTCTCAGGGAGCCTTTCTCAGCAGCTAAGATGGGCGGAGGGGTTGGTACCCCTAAACAAAGCCCAGGACCACAGTCTTCAGATGGTGCCAGCCTCAGCAGGTGCTCTCAGCTCATCAAAAGGATATTCAGGCCTTTGCTAACAAAGTTACCTTGGTAACACAAAAGTGAACAGAAGCTTAATATGTTCTGCTAAGAGGCTCAAACATATTTTTAAATAATCAAAAACAATCTATAGTGGGTAATAAAGAATAATGAAATTGAAATTACACGGCCTATGCAGAAATTCCTCCCCTACCACATACAAGCTACAGCTACCTGCCAGGCAGCTCTCAACCAGTGTATCTCACTTGTAAAATACCAGTACTAGTATCTGGCTTGCCTACATTGCACGGTTGTGATACTCCAGCACGCGACACTAAAACTCCGCCACAAGTAGCACGTGTGTCACCAGGACAGCTGCTGCATGTTTGGTCTCTCTGGCACGACAGGCTTGAGTTCAAATGTGGAGCTTACCACTCATGGCCAGTTAAATTACTCTCTTTAAATCTTGGATTCCTCATCTGTAAAGTGGGATTCATAAGAGTGCCAGACCTGACAGGACTGGAGAGACAAAAGCCAAGGACCTTCTCAGCATAGCACTTGGTTCCAAGTGGGGCCTAGAGAAACACTGCCTGCTCTCACGGGCACTCTTAGAAGGAGAGCGCGCTTTTCACCACCTCCTCGAAATCTCCATTCCAATACAGTCCAAGACTGAAGACATCTACATTTACATACACAAGGTCAGAGAAGGTTCTGGTTGCGGGGGCCACTTTACCTTCTTGGTCATTGTGCAGTGAGTAGAATTTTGAGAAGCAGCTGACAGTCTTTCTGATCTCAAAAGGAAAGTCCTAGGACCTGAACACACACACGACGGCAAACCTTTCTAGTCGGCCATACAAGGGTGAAGAGTAAATAGCGGAGAGAGCCCCGTCTCATGCATGGAGCAGCAGTCCTCTGGAAGACCACCTGGACACAGCTGCCGCAGAGGGCCTCGGCGACCCCGGCCTGGTTCCCAGAGGCACTGAGGGTCCCCATCAGTTCCCAGTGACAAAGCCAGGCTGAAGAGAACCAGTAAGGAAGGCACCTAGCCCTTTTATCCCCTATTATTTACGTATTTATTTGTTTGTAAATTTAGTACCAATTGGTGTTGAATACTTTAGTTTTCCTTTTTTTTAAAATGAAGACCCCTCTTTTGGTCATTAAAAAAAAATAATAGGAGAGCGAGCCCAGGAACTTTGGTGAACTGCCCCTCTGCCGAAGGTTACTAGATGGTAACATTTCCTAAGGACAGGCTTGGTATCTAGGAAGAAACACACAGCCTCAAAGTAACATCACTTTCTGTTTCCAAGCCTGCAAGTTACATTCTCAATCTCGCAGGTTTGGATGACATTTTATCCCCGGATGTCCACATCCTGCCACAGCACACAGGCATTGCCTCAGCGGCTCCTCAAGGCACTTGCAAGCATCCGGAGACACTGCTGGTTACACAGTGGCAGGACGAGGCTGTGCCCTCCGGCACTGAGGAGCCCCTGTTTGCTCTCACCTCATGGCTTGGCATCCTGTTAATGAGATAAGCAGGGGGTGTCCCCGTCAGACGCATAATCTGCTGAAGCTGGTTAATATCTTAGATGCCTGGTCAAGGGCATTGTTAAACATACAGTGCAAAAAAAAAAAAGTAACTTTCAACTCAAGTTCTCGAAAAAAGGTCAAAAAACCACCCCAAAACAGAACAAACAAACAAACAAAAAAAAAAACCCTCTACTCCCCACCCACCCCAGGCCATAGCCCAAGGCTGCAGGTTAGTGAGTGCTTCTGTGAATGGCTGGCCATGCAGATACAAAAATCTGACTCTCTTTGGTTCCAGCATCATCTTTAATTTTAACTATTTTTGGTTCCCTGGAAACAGACTGCCAGCCAGAGAACGATTTTCAAGTTCTGATGGCTAAACCCTGTTTGCCTGTGGGGTAAATGCGCATGACTCAGCAACTTTTAACTCGACTTCAGACAAGACAGAATATCTAAGAGATCCTTACACGGAGGAGACTACATTTTTATAGCAGGTGTTCTTCAAGGCATCTCCCCTCCAAAGTAAGACACGGGTGGGTGTGTTGGTTGACTAACACTGCCACGTTTCAAAGACATTAGTAGTGATATGTTTAAAGTACATGCTGCAAACACACACTGGTGAAGGCAGAAAAGGAAAGATGGGGGGAAGTTAGAGGCTAATGGCAACAACAAGGTCGAAGTCACAGGCTGCCGGTGGTATCATGGCATGCCACAGTGGTTTCCTCTGCAAGTCTCTCTAACATGTGAAAGGATTCCCCTCACTTAGCAAACAGCCCAGAGCAAGTGTGCAAAACAGCAATTATCTGATAAGGGCAAAACTATGAGGTTTCCCACATGCACAAGCACACAGGTAAGTTGTTCCAGCAAATTCTCTCTCCTAACTGTGCTATCAATGTTAAATAATTCCCGTGTGGGGCCGGCACTGTGGTGTAGCGGGTAAAGCCCTGGCCTGAAGCGCCGGCATCCCATATGGGTGTCAGTTCTAGTCCCGGCTGCTCCTCTTCCGATCTAGCTCTCTGCTATGGCCTGGGAAAGCAGTAGAAGATGGCCCGAGTGCTTGGGCCCCTGTACCCACGTGGGAGACCGGAAGAAGCTCCTGGCTCCTGGCTTTGGATTGGCTCAGTTCCACCAGTTGCAGCCATCTGGGGAGTGAACCTGAGATGGTTCTCTCTGTCTCTACCTCTCTCTGTAACTCTTTCAAATAAATTACATCTTTAAAAATGATAATAGGCCGGCGCCGCGGCTCACTAGGCTAATCCTCCGCCTAGTGGCGCCGGCACACCGGGTTCTAGTCCTGGTCGGGGCGCCGGATTCTGTCCCGGTTGCCCCTCTTCCAGGCCAGCTCTCTGCTGTGGCCCGGGAGTGCAGTGGAGGATGGCCCAGGTGCTTGGGCCCTGCACCCCATGGGAGACCAGGAGAAGCACCTGGCTCCTGGCTCCTGCCATCAGATCAGCGCGGTGCGCCGGCCGCAGCGCGCTGGCCGCGGCGGCCATTGGAGGGTGAACCAACGGCAAAGGAAGACCTTTCTCTCTGTCTCTCTCTCTCACTGTCCACTCTGCCTGTCAAAAAAAAAAAAAAAAAAAAAAAAAAAAAAAAAAAAAGATAATAATTCCCATGTTCCAAAACACAAATGGGAACTGTTAGTTTATAGTGCATTTCTACCAAAGGCACAATTGATGAGATTTTTAAAATCCTCACCATAATTCAATAAATCCCATTTTTGTTCCCTTTCTCATGAACTATTAATTCCCTCCTGCAGCTGAAGTGTTGTCTTATAACACCACAGCCAAGTAATCATTTTTCCACTACTCTCATCCCCTGAACTCAGCTCCCTAGTGGTGAGATTACTGCTAATGCAGGTTTTAGGCCGGCCATAGGGAGAGGCCCACATGTTCCTGCCTTACAAGCCCTCCAAACCAAGACAGAGGCCTGCAAATTCAGAAGATAGTAGGAAGTTCTCTTAACATTGTCACAACAAAGTTTAGATGTACCTTTAAACACGTTCCATAACAAACAGTACTTGCATACCGAGAGAAATAACAAAAGGGTTTTAAATACTAGGTTTTTTTTTTTTTTAAGATTTATTATTTACTTGAAAGGCAGAGTTACAGAGAGATCTTCCATCCACTGGTTTACTCCCCTAATGCCTGCAACAGCCAGGCTGAAGCAAGGAGCCTGAAACTCCATCCGGGTCTCCCACATGGGTGGCAGGGACCCAAATACTTGTGCCAACTTCTGCTGCCTTCCCAGGCACATTAGTAGGGAGCTGGATCAAAAGTGAAGCAGCAAGTCTGGCGTCGTGCTGTAGCAGGTTAAACTGTCCCTACAACACCAGCATCCTGTATGGGTGCTAGTTTGTATCCTGGCTGCTCTACTTCTGATCCAGCTCCCTGCTAATGTGCTTGGGAAAGCAGTAGAAGGTGGCCAAAGAGTTTGGGCCCCTGCACTCACGTGGGAGACCTGGATGAAGCTCCTGATTCCCAGCTTCAGCCTGGCCCATTCCTGGCCATTGTGGCCATTTGGGGAGTGGACCAGAGGATGGAAGACTTCTCTCTCTCTGTCTTTCCTTCTCTTGTTGTAACTCTTTCAAATAAGTTAATAAAAAAAAAAAAAAAAAAAAGTGAAGCAGCCTGGACTCGAACTGGTACCCACATGAATTGCCAGGTTTTTGTTGATTTTTTAAGTGGTTACTATATGTGCACTTTTAAGACAAACAGGTGGGGCTGGCACTGTGGCATAGATGCTGCGGCGCTGGCATCCCATTTGGGCACCTTCATGTCCCAGCTGTTTCTCTTCCGATCCAGCTCTGCTTGTGACCTGGGAATGCAGTGGAAGATGGTCCAAGTGCTTGGGCCCCTGCACCAGTGTGGGAGCTCCTGCCTTCTGCCTTCTGCCTTCTGCCTTCTGCCTCCGGATCAGCCCAGCTCCAGCCACTGAGGCCATTTGGGGAATGAACCAGCAGATGGAAGACCTTGCTCTCTGTAACTCTACCTCTCAAATAAATAAATAAATCTTAAAAACCAAAAACAAAAAGCAGGTAGTAGGGCACTGTCACTAATATCAAATTAATCTTGTCTATCCTTTTGAAGGTTTAAACAAATTTTATTCACTTGCCAAAATTACACAGGGGAAACAAACTGCTTCTTATACTTAATGGAATCTTATTTGAATAAACTGTTATTCTGGTTCTCAATTATGCCCAGTGCTACCCCAGAGCTGCTGCAATGTATGACATGCCCCATTTTACATAAGATAAATACATCTTATCATTAGGTCATATACCCAGTGTCTCCCTCTTAGAAATAAATGATGGGGGTGGGGAGTGTTGGGTGGGTTGCCACAATAGTTAGGATGCTGCTTGGGACACTTGCATCCCCTATCGGAGTGTCTGGTCAAGTTCTGGCTCCTGTGATTTCAGACCATGGGCACCCTGGGAGGTAGCAGATGATGGCTCCAGTGCTTGGGTCCCTGCTACCACATGGGAGACCTGGACTGAGCTCCAGGCTCCTGGATTTAGCACGGTCCAGGCCTGGCTTCTGTGGGCACCGGGGAAGTGACCCAGCAGACAGATGTTTCTCCCTCTGACTCTGCCTTTCAAATAAATAAAAATTTTTAAAAGGAGACCATTTTTTCTTAAAAAAAAAAAAAAAAAAAGATGGATTAATAATAGGCAAATACTCTTGTACCCACACTTTGTCTTTTAGAACTTCTTGTGGCTAATAGCACATAGCTATAGGCAGACAGCTGGGGTGGAAGACAGGGGGTAGCACCTGTCCATAGGCAGATGGCTGGGGTGGGAGAGGGGGCTGAGAAAGAGCTGCGAGGAGTCACTCCCAGACAGAGAATAAATTTGCTATCTCAGTCCCATTTATACTTTCATTAATTACCTGATCTTCCCAACCCTCCTCGTTCCTCTCGTCCTCCTACTAGTCAATCTTTCTAAGCAAATGCAGTCTGATTTTGTTTAGTTTTTTAAAAACACTCTTCTTTCTAAGTATTTCTCTCTCTTGATTCACTCTAATCCAGCTTCTGCATTTCCTAAAGCAAAAGAAAACACTTCTTCAGGCTGATGATATAGTCAAGAATTCTGACACTGGGTGTTGTGGCTTAGTGGGTGGAGCTTCTGTCTCTGGTGCCTGTATCCCACATGGACACCGGTCAAATCTACTTCCATCCAGCTCCCTGCAATACTATGCCGGGGGGTGGGGTGGGTGGGCAGTGGAGAATGGCCCAAGTGCTTGGACCCTTGCACCCACGTGGGAGATCCAGGGTAGGCTCCTGGCTTCGGATTGGCCCTGCTCCACCCATTTGCAGCCATCTGGGGAGTAGGCTGGTGGATTGAGGATCTCTCTCTCTCCTCCTTCTCTCTAACTCTGCCTTTCAAATAAATAAATAAATCTTTAAAAAAGAGAACTCTTGACACTGACTTTCAAAATTGCATGCAACCGCATGAGACGACTGTTTAGATCACGGTGTCAGGACATCTGGGCTCCATACTTGGCTCTGCCAAATGACTCAGTGTGTGACTCTCCACGCTAGTGCTTCCTTATCTTAAATAAGTAAATGAAACAAAATGAAACAGAGCCAGCACACCCTTCTGCATCTCTCAGAGTGGAAACTGAGAGGTGCACTGCACTTCGTGGCTGTTTTAAGAGATGCACTAGATACACAGATGCGGTGCTCTCGGCCGGGATATGATAAACAGTTGAAACTCACCTGCTCGTGTCTGCCTCGAGCTTCCCAGCAGTCTTCCCAACTGGGCAAAGCGCCCCTTGGTGAGAAATGATGGGAGAGGGAGCCAGACAGGCACAGCTGGGCTGGGCTCTACAGCTCTTTCTCCCTTCTTTTCAACTGCTTGGAGGCAGATGGAGAGGGAAGGGAAGAGAGGCTGGGCTTTTGGAGTCTTTCTCACATCTCTGGCCCAAAGAAATGGCCAACAGCAGGAAATCATAGCCCAAACATGCCAGAGTCACATTCCCACGGCTTCTGCCTAAGCCCCGACTTGGAGGCTGGGAAGTACCAGCTCCAAAGCCTTTTCTCAGCTTATTCAGCTCGGG